AGAGAGAGAGAGAGAGAGAGAGAGAGAGGTGAGTTTGTAGTGAGAGAGTGGTGGGTGGTGTTCTCTGTTTCCTCTAATCTCATTCATGACAGAGAAAGATAGAATATGATACATGATGAAGTGAGGGAGAACTCTCTTTCTTTTTTACTGTGATTTGAGGCATGGAGGGGGTTGCTGCAAAGAGAAGGTCATCAACAACGAAGGAGAGGAGGAGGTGCAGTCCTACTCCCATTCCTCCTGCTCCTGCAACTACTTTTATTAGAGGAAATAGCAACAGCAGCCGCAATGGTGGTCTCTCACCCTCCACTCTAATGGAGTTGTGGTATCATCTTCCCATCCCCTACCAACCCCCTCTTCCTCCTCCACCTCTCGATCCCCCTTATGCATCATCACAAACCTCATTCACTCTCTCTCAAGGTAAAACTCTCTCTTTCTCTCTCTCTCTGGTTTAAGGATTTTTGCTTTTTTTTTTCCTTATTGTTTCTCAAACATCATAGTCCCCCTTTTCCTCTTCCTTTTAACCATAGCCATAATAAGGGAATATATTTCCTCAGAATACCATTCTTCCTGCCTACCTACATGTAGAACATTCAACACCTCCCCTCCCTCTCTCTCTCTTTCTCTCTATCTCCCTCTCTCTCTAAAACCCACTTATCCACTCTCTCTCTAAACCCACTTCTCCATTCTCACCTGTCCAATTAGTCCTCTCTCTCTCTCTAAAACCCACTTCTCCACTCTCTCTCTAAAACCCACTTCTTCATTCTCACCTGTCATATTCTCCATATCTGTCCACTCTCTCTCTAAAACCCACTTCTCCATTCTCACCTGTCATATTTTCCATATTAGTCTTCTCTCTCTCTAACCCACTTTGCCATGTTTTGCAATCAGTCTCTGTACCAGTAGAAGAGCTCAAAACCGGTAGCAACCTTTCCATCTCAGTGGATCACCATCACCAATATAAGCAGAAGTTGAACCAGCAGCAGCAGCACAAAAAGGCACTAGTTGCAGCGGTGAGGAGGCCTGATTCTGGAGGGGAAGAGGGCCTTCGGATTCCACTCCTCGCCAACCATTTCCTGGTTCGTTTCGACCCCTTGCAAACCATTTTCCATTACAATGTTGACATATCCCCCCGCCCCACAAAGGAGGTGGCCAGGCTCATTAAGCGCAAGCTCTTCTGTGACAATCCCTCCCTCACGTCTTCTGCCGCCTTTGATGGCCGAACGAATCTGTACAGTCCCAGCCAATTCCGCAAGGATAGGCTCGAGTTCTTTGTTGCTCTCCCGATTCCATCCAAAATGGGAGATACTCCACAATCGAAACCGAGAACAAAACTAAAATTCTTCAGGGTAAACATGAAGCTGGCCTCAAAGCTCGATGGCCAAGACTTGGAGCGCTTCTTGAGAGACGTGGACCATGACGAGGAAGAAGAAGATGCGAATTGTGGTGTCCCTCTCCCCCAGGACTATCTCCATGCTCTCGATGTGGTCTTGAGAGAGAACCCAGTTGAGACATGCATCCCTGTGGGCAGGTCCCTGTACTCGAGCTCCATTGGAGGAGGGGCCAAGGATATCGGTGGAGGAGCCGTCGGATTGAGGGGCTTTTTTCAGAGTCTGAGGCCCACCGAACAGGGCCTTGCCCTCAATGTCGATTTCGCAGTGACCGCCTTCCACGAGAGCATCGGCATCATCCAATTCCTCCAAAAGAGATGCGAATTTTTGAGGGACCTCTCCCAGAGGAAGAGCCGGGGATTAGTCGGTGAGGAGAGGAGAGAGGTGGAGAAAGCTCTCAGAAACATTAGGGTTTTTGTGTCCCACAGAGTCACCGACCAGAGGTACAAGGTCTTCAGCCTCACCGAAGAGTCGACTGAGAATCTGAGATTCAAGAGCAGGGGCGGCGAGGACATAAGCCTGGTGGATTATTTCAAGGAGAATTATAACCATGACATTCAGTTCCGGAAGTTGCCTTGCCTTCAGATGAGCAGGAGCAAGCCATGTTACATTCCAATGGAGCTCTGTGTCATCTGTGAGGGTCAGAAGTTTATGGGGAAGCTCTCGGATGAGCAGACTGCAAGGATCCTCAAGATGGGTTGCCAGAAGCCGTGGGAGCGAAGAGCTATCATTAATGGAGTCATGGGAGGACCGGTTGGCCCAACGAGGTAGGTAGCCTATCGAGCCCAATAACTTTATGTAGAAAGAGAATACGAAAAGTATTCCGTGAGTTTCCCCATTTTTATCTATTCATCTGTTCTCTGAGCTTTCTTTCAAAATTCAAAGTTTATGGAGTTCGTGAAAGCTGCCATTTTATCCAGTTGCCTCTGAATCATTGAGAAACCCCATTTGTTTCAACTGCTTATGAATTTCACTGCTTTCTCCCAAGTAGTAAATATTCCTACTGATGCCTATTCTCTGAATTTATTCACCTCTGAAGACTGAACCCAGACAGCAGATGTACTTATCATGCTTTTCATTCTTCTTGTGATCTTGAGGTTTGTTGTTTTTTCCTTTTCTCTCTCTCTCTCTCTCCTTTGTGTACCTGAATCAGGAGGAGTGCCTTCACTTGAGAATGGAGTAGTAGTTCATAATCTCATATAGGATCATTTGGGGCACTTGTTATTGTATGACTGCAGCATTTTTCCCATCACTTTCTTATCAAGATCACTAATTCTACTGTTAAATTATTTCTTTGGAGCGTTTATTGTTTTTTTTTTTTTCGAGAATTTTTAAGGTAATCTTACTGCTCAATTCTTACCAAATTTATAAACTCAAATATTTAGAAGCCTATATGCACCATGATGTCTCATCATTATCATCCGAGGCTTTTCCCAAACTATTTGGAGTTGGCTGCACGGTCTGCCATCTGCTCTATCAAGGGTCAATACCAGTGAGGCCATGAGTCCTGTACACCATGATGTTTATCCTCCTCATTGTATGTCTTTTCTCTGTTTGTTCAAGTGCATGTAATGTGTTCTTTGAGAAATTTGAAGTAACTCCGTTGTGACAATTAAGAGCTAACACAATTTTATCCCATCTTTCTTTTGATCATTCATGGAATGACTCACAGTGGCAACATGGCAATAGACTTCAACCTCCATATATCAAGAGAGATGACTAGATTAACAGGCAGGGTCCTCCAGCCTCCAAAGTTGAAACTCGGGGATGGTGGCCGAGTCACAGACCTCATCCCAACTCGCCACGACTGCCAGTGGAACCTTCTTGAGAGCCATGTGCTGCAGGGGGCTCGCATAGAGAGGTGGGCTATCATCAGCTTCGGAGGCACCCCGGAGCAGCGCTCATCTCTCCCCAAATTCATCATCCAACTCGCCCACCGTTGTGAGCAGCTAGGCGTAGCTCTCAACAAGGTCCCAACTGTGGCCCCACAATTTGAGCCCATGCAGGCCCTCAACAGTGTCTCGTCTCTTGAATCAAAGCTTCGGAAGATCCACGAATTAGCCTCCAATCGCCTCCAGCTCCTCATCTGTGTCATGGAGAGGAAGCACCGAGGCTACGCCGACCTCAAACGCATCTCAGAGACGAGCATCGGCATCGTGAGCCAGTGCTGCCTCTATCAGAACCTCATGACACCAGGCTCTCAATTCTTGGCCAATTTGGCCTTGAAAATCAATGCCAAGACCGGGGGGTGCACTGTGGCCCTCTACAACTCCTTGCCAGCCCAAATGCCCCGTGTGTTTGGGGACTCGGAGCCAGCCATATTCATGGGAGCGGATGTCACCCACCCCCACCCTCTCGATGATCACAGCCCCTCGGTAGCCGCAATCGTGGGCAGCATGAACTGGCCCTCCCCAAACAAATATGCATCGAGGATGAGGTCTCAGACCCACCGCCAAGAGATCATTGAGGACCTTGGGCAGATGGTGGAAGAATTGCTCTTTGATTTCTATCGAGAGGTAAACAAACTGCCCAAGAGGATCCTCTTCTTTAGGGACGGTGTGAGTGAGACCCAATTCTACACGGTGCTCCATGAGGAGCTGCCGGCTATCAGGGCCGCCTGCTCCCGGTTGAAGTTGAATAACCACCACCAGAATACAAAAGGAGCGTCTTACAATCCAGCCATCACTTTTGTGGTTGTACAAAAGCGGCACCACACCAGGCTTTTTCAGGCCACAACAAACCCCCAAGGCTTGCACTCAGTTGGCAACAACAACATACCCCCTGGCACCGTGGTGGACCGAGTGATAACACACCCCAGGGAATTCGACTTCTATCTATGTAGCCACTGGGGGACCAAGGGGACAAGTCGCCCAACCCACTACCATGTGCTTTGGGATGAGAACTGCTTCTCGTCCGATGAGCTTCAGAAGCTGGTCTACAGCCTCTGCTTCACCTCCACCCGCTGCACAAAGCCCGTGTCCCTTGTGCCACCTGCATACTACGCGCACTTGGCCGCTTACAGAGGCCGCCTTTACCTTGATAAGCCCCCACCGCTCAATGGCGGTGGCAGCGGATCCCTATCTCCTGATTATTCAGCGTCGTTTACTCCATCGAGGGCAGGTCCACCCCCTCAAGCTGCACCCTTGCCGAGGCTTGCCGGAAACCTCAAGAACCTCATGTTCTACTGTTAATCCTAATGCCCTAGTTCTAACCTTGTGCTTATACTAACTTGTTGGGTTCTCTCTACCTACATATATGACTCTGTATGTGTGTGTAGAGAGCTTCTTTCTCTTAACCCTTTGTTGCAAAATCAAAGCAAGTTTTTGTGCTACTCTCCACTGAGTATGGTGGTGGTGTTTGTACAGATCTTTGAAATACGTATGTTTGCCTCAAGCACTTCCTTTTCCAAATAAAAAATATGCTTCACTAACCCAATAAGTAAAATCGATTTATAAGGCACTGCTGCCATTACTCGTTCGTCCACCATTCTGGTTACTGTTTTTTCATTTTGTTTTTGGGTTTGGGTCTTTGTTTTAGTCTCAAATCACGCAGTAGTGGATCCCTCTAATCCCCCAGTGGCTACATAGAAATTGAATTCCCTCGGGTGCGTTATCACTCGGTCCAGCACCGTGCTAGGGGGTATGTTGCTGTTGTTGCGGACTGAGTCCGAGCCTTGGGGGTTTATAGTGGCCTGAAAAAGCGTGATGATAACAGACCATTCTTATTGTTTTAGGGTTTGGGCCTTTGAATGGATCAAAAATGTCATTTTCTGTGACAAAGAGAGAGAGAGATAAACACTATATTGTAGCTAATCACCGCTGTTCTGTAGTTTACCGCAAAAACCATTAAATGATATTTGTTTCTCAGTGAATCTTCTCCCTCTACATGGGTGGTTTTGCCTCAAACTCCAAGATGATCGTATTTGTTTCTCTGAATATTCTCTCTCTACATGGGTGGTTTTACCTCAAACTCCAGGATAATCATATTTGTTTTTCTCTCCATGTGGGTGATGTTATGGTGCTTCTGCATGGGCTTTGTATGGGTTCACCATCTCTTGATATCGAATATGCTCTGTCTCATCTCAGTTCACTTTGAGCCTCTCTCTTATGTATATTTTTTTTCTCTCTCTCTCTGTAGCAGCTGACAGCTTTTTGGTCAATCCTTTTGAGCTTCTTTAGTCTGAGACTTGGGACTGGTAGTGTGTCAGGAGGACTGAGGGGTTTCACAACAGTTTCTTTGGGACCTTGTAAATAATAAAAGTGACAGATACCTTGTGTCATGGACGTGTGAGTGTGGCTAAAAGATTAGGCCCTTTCTCTCTCTAAACACCCAAAAGATTCATAGTGCTGCTGCCACTTCACTTTCCCTTTTGTCTCTCCAATCAATTGGGTCTCTCTCTGTTAGTGACGACTGCAACTCTGCAACACACTACCTGCACCACCCCCTCTCTCTCTCTCACTAAATGTGCCTGTACCTTACCTTTTTTTGCCTTTTCTTTGTATTTTTCACTGCAAACGCCATTCTGTCGTTTTAAAGTTCGAACTCTTGGATTTGAATTTCGAAATTGAGGACGCAGGCGTCAGAGGAGTAAAACTGTGAAACTGAAGAAGGACCCGAGGTGAGAGAGGCAGTAATGCGGTTGAAAATTTTGATGCCTCCCTCTTTCCTCTGTGTTTCCCACAGTGCCCCTCCTCTCTCTCTCTTGTGTCAGTCGTTGTAGCCTGGCCCCATGGCTACGAAAGGATTGGGCCTGGTCTAGAACAGCTCAGCAATGTACCGGGGCCATTGAAATTCGGGGCGGGCCTGGGCCAACGCAAGGTTCTGTGAACAAGCAGGGTCCAAGGGCGTAGCCCAGTTGGATTGGATAGATTCCGATCACCCGATATGGCCAGCCTAGACCTAGTTGAGCCAACGACATTTATAGAGTTCAGAATTTATCAGGTTTTGATCCGAAACCCAAAATTTGAACAAAATTTGGAATCAATGGGTAGGATTTAGATCCAAAATTTGGATTCGAATATAATTAGGATTGGATCCGGGTACAAGTTGATCCGATCAGTATGAAACCCTGTTATTAAAATAGTATATATTATTTTATATATACATGTATGTTATATAATATTTTTTGTTATATATTATTTAAAAAATGGCCTTGTGAGACCCCGCCACACCCATGTGTAGGCCTCAAAAAATCACCATTAAATTTGGCACATATCTCCAAAAAAGTCAAATCCTACATCCATGTGATAACTTTTTTAGATATCTGTGACAAATTTAATAGTGATCTTTTAAGATCTTATAACTCATATTATTTTATAGGGAAAATTATAAAAAACACCCTAAAATGGACTATCTATGCAACATACCCCTACCCCAATCTTTTCTTTCACTTTTTTCTCCATGACAACTTTTTCTCGCAAAAACTCCCTAAGGTAAAAAGTTATTATTATTTGGATGGAAATGCCCTTCCCATACAAACCAAATCAATTCGCGAGTCCCAAGTAGTGTATTGTCGGGGCTCGTCTTTGTACTGTCGGAGCACGTCTTTGCACTATCGGAGCATGTCTTTGCACTGTTGGAGTGCATTATCATAATGCCGGAGTGTTATGGCTCAGACCTACATTGTCGGAGCGCACATTCATAATGTCGGAGCGCTTGTTTATATTGCCGGAGCGCGGTCCTCCATTGCCGGAGCGCTGTGGCCCCAAAGACTTCATTGCCGGAGTAGAATGCCGGAGCGCGTCTTTGTACTACCGGAGCGAGTTCTCATAATGCCGAAACGCTACGACACAAACCTCCATTACCGGAGCGCACATTCAGAATGCCAAGCACGTGTTTGTACTGTCGAGGTGCGTGTGAAAACAAGAGAGAGAAGTCCGTGTGAAAACAAATAAGGGTAGTTTAGTCGTATTTTATGCTACTTTTGGGTTGGGGGGTTATTTGCAAAGAAAGGTTGTTTGGAGGAAAAAAGTGAGAGACAATATTGGGGTGGGGGTAAGTTGCATAGATAGTCTATTTTAGGGTATTTTTTGTAATTTTTCATATTTTATATCTATAAAATAAATTTTTAAATCCAATTGGGCTAGGATCCTAATCTGAATCCCATGTATACTTTCAAATCTAGATCTGAATCTAAATATTCTGGATCCCATTGGGTCCCGATATAGATCTAGATCGTATATATATTTTTGGATCTGAATCTTGATCCAATTCAACCCATTCTCTAACCTAGTCATTTAGAATTCGTACTATTTCAATAGGTGGGCTTGGTTGTGGGTTGAAATATGAAAAAAAAAAGATGATATATAATAAAATATATAAATATTTATAGAAAAATTTTATGTAAGGATGCAATTTTAATTGTAGAAGTAAAGTTGCATTAATCTAGACCATTTATTTTATTTGAATGGTGTAAATTTGGTATTTGTCTCAATAGACATGGCACTTTTTGACACTACCTTGAAAGGTGTGTCAAATCTACACCATTCAATCTTGGAAAAAGTTTATATAAGGATGCAACCTTATAATGTAGAACTATGAATGCATCTCAAAAATCCATCGGAAAACGTATTTTTAATGTTGAAAAACCCTCTCGACATTGAGATGTATGACCATGAAAAATAAAAAGATTTTAAGTCTCAGAAATAGTGCATTTTACAACATATTATCTACATCGTCCATTTTCAAGATTTTCATATGTTTATAGATCTACTTGATTTTAACCGTTTTTGAAATTTAAAATTTTATAATTAGATATAAAAATAGATTTTGAGTTAATCCTAAGATCATTTTACATCAAAATTATATGCCATGATAAAATTTGAAAGTGCACCTTACCTCTACAGCTACGGATGCATCCGTATGCCAAATGCACCCTTCAATCTTACTTCTATGAATAAAGTTAGGTCTTTATACAAACCGCACCCAATAGTTATTACATATGTACTTTCTTGGGAACATACTATACATTTACTCTTTAAAGCAAAATGCTTGGAGATTTTATTTATTTATTTATTTCTATTTGGAATATTAGGATCCATCTTATTATAATTAGTTGAAGATTTTTCTAAGGAAAAGAAAATTGGATTTCAAGTTCTTAAACACTTAGATCATTCCCTCCAAAAATTGGATGGTTCCATTACAATCTTGGGATGCCATTTTTTTTAAGCCTCAAGGCATTTTTAAACACTATGATACCTTTAATTCATAATACAGTAACTTATTCTTCATAGGTATTTTAGGTAATTAATAAAAGACAAATAAAAAATCCTTAATAGCACATAACTATGGGTGCGGTTTGTATAAGGCCGAGGCTTTAAACAATCAAAGTAACGCGTACCTTCAAATATTGTTGAGGAACGTGGATTCAATACTAGAAATCTTTGTAAAATTTATTTTGTCACTAATTATAAAATTTAAAGCTTCAAAATAGTGTAGATTGAGCAGGCTTATGAAAACTTGAAAATTTGACGGCCCAAAAATGCATTAAATGATACACTATTTCCAAAACTTAAAATTCATTTTTTTCTCATCTTCATGTATCTTGAAATCGAGATGATCAATTTTAAGATATTTCGTTATCAAAACAACCTCTTCAAATAAAATTTTTAAGGTGTGCCCTAATTTGATTGTTTAAAGCCCCGCACTTATAGTATCTATTCAGTAATGCGGTAAATGACATTACCTACATAAGCTATAATATATAATGTGGTGGGGGAGAGCTTCACTATGGCATTCCCCTTGGAAAAGTCAATGGAGCTCCAGTCTTAGAGAGCCCTCGACCTCTCAATTTCTGGTCAATGGTGGACAATATCATAAAAATATCTTTTCTTTTTTATATTCACTTAAGGACGCGGTTAGCATCCGCCCACATGCGGGCTTGGCAATAAATATATTTTTAAAATATAATTTGATCTTAATTTTTAGAGAGTATATAATATTTAAAATGAAGATCATGAATATAGAATTTTTTTTTTTGAAAACTAAAAATAATAATTAAAAAACATTTGGACCGTTATAATTACCATTGTTTTTTGATGGAATACCTATTTGCATCAATCTTTGGGATAGATGCTCTATACTTGCGGTCCAGCCTGCATAAAACAACATAATTTAGTGAGCTGTCCTAAATCTTTGGGTTTTCTAAATGAGCATGATGTGTGCGTATATACAAGGGGATTCTAATTATTATCCCTAAATGAGATTGTCTACAAAGATACTATTTATTTTTTTGTATATGAATGTCACAGTCATTTTTGTCCCTTAAATTTCAAAATGGGTTGTTGTAAGAGTGTCATTGGATAGATACAAAGTTTCAAAATAATAATTTCAGACTTCGTGACTCACCCGAAACCATCCAATATAATATCTAATGAGTGGCAATGATTGTGGCCTCCATGTATAAAAGATAAATTCTCTTTTTAGACATCC